CTCTGAGCAGGGAGAGCCACCACTTCCCTTCGTCCTAACAGCAAATATGGCATGCAGAAACACAGAAAGAAAGAAAGAAAGAAAGAAAGAAAGAGCAGATAAAGGAGATAAAGCGCATGCTAACAAGCAGGAGATCTAGGCTGGTCCTGATCCGATATCTGGAAGCTGTATCTGGAGGGAGTCTGTAGGAGCCAAGGATTGATATCCGACTCCTCCCACATCCGAGGCGGCCATTTTGATTAGTTCATGTGACTAGCAGCTTTCTCAGGTGGAAATGAAACTTTACTGTCTATACAAAATCGGAAGATAAACGATATCCTAAACCTGACCCTAAACCTGACTCTAACCCTGACCCTAAACCTATCACTGATCCTAACCCTAACCAAAATCCTAACCCTCTAACCCTAACCCTGGCCCTTAACCCTAACCCTAACCCTGACCCTAAACCTAACCCTGACCCTAACCGTAACCGTAACCGTAACCCTAACTGTTAATATTGGCATGAAGCAATTTTGATAATGCATGTTTATTGCTAAATTTTTCTATCTGGGGAATTAATTTAACGGCTGCTCTCACGTCAACGAGGTTTAAAAAACAAAATGTCACTGAAAATAACGTGAATGAATTTTACAGACTGAAAAATAAACCATCAAAGTGCAAAGTTTTCCCTTCATATTTTTACTTTCACTTCGCCGAACTGCCAGTGGGTTGAGACGATTTTCTTGCCGTCGGAGAGTAGATATGGGATCTTTCTGTTAGTGACGTAATCAAAATGGCCGACTTGGATGTGGGCGGAGTTGGATCTCCATCCTTGGCTTCCAGCAGTCTGCAGCCAAACATACTTGAAAAACTGCGTATCAGCCCGGGAGGAGAAAAAGCAGATCCAGACTCCAGATCCAGTTTTTTTAAGAGTCCGATCCCACACGAGCATTAGCATTAGCATTAGCATCTGTAACCACAGGTCTGTGTCCTAACCATTAAGTTGTTATCAGAGCATTAGCATAAGCATTAGCATCTGTAACCCACAGGTCTGTGTCCTAACCATTAAGTTGTAAATCCCTGTTCAACATGAGTCTGACAACTAAGTAAGTAGATAAATAACTTTAGACTTTAACACATGCTCTGATAGGCCGGGATCGGATCGGATCGGAAGTAAAAAAAATCTGGATCGGACGTCTCTAGCGTGAACAGAGGATTTCAGAGCAGGATTTGGAGGCGTCCCAGGCGGGACTTTGGGGGGGAAGCTGTTAGGGGCTGTTAGTGGCACACAGAGGGGGGAAACCGGCTACCTGTGGCTGTGTCATATACCTCTGTGAGGGGGGTCAGAACCATGGTTAACTCATTGGCTGCCAAAGACGTCTATAGGCGTCTTTTATGTTTTTAACGAGAGTGTCTGGGGGACGATCTGCTAAAGCTTGTCCGTAAATATGGGCTTCTAGACAGAGTATGTAGTAACAAATTGACCCTCTAGGGGGCA